TCTCTCTCTCTCTCTCTCTCTCATGTCCAGGTCACGCTAATTTCTTGCGCGACAAATCTCGCGGATCAAAATTGGATCCTGACGATTACCGCTTGAAGCCGCCGCAATTCGTTGTATCGATGCGTCGTACACGAGGTGCCGCACATTAGATCTCGACGATGACCGCTTCCCCTTCCCTTCTCTCCTTCTCCGTCTGTTCTTCCTTCTCTTTTCGATTTTGTATTACCGGCAGCAACGGTGCGGCGGCATTCAGCGTGCATTCAGCCGAAATGTATTGTTTTCGTCCCTATACAAAAAAATGCAAAAGTTCTAGAATGATTTTCCAACTCCTCTACCTGCTCGTCGATAACGCATAATCTAACGTATTTCTAAGATTTTCGAGAGAAGACGACTATATATTAGACGCGAGGTAATCAAAATCCCCTTGTCTTGGAAAAGGGAGAAGTATAATTTGTAGATTTCGCGATAATTCAAAGGATAATTCATAGTTTATAGCTTTTCTCTTATTTTTTTTACTCGTTACAAGATTGTTGATTGAATTGCTATTTTTTTTAGATTACGTGTATTTTGAGACTGCCACCTCGTCGCCGTATCAGATTAGGAGGATAGAAGAATTAAATAAGGTAAGATATTGAAAGCGGCGCTGTTGCATTTTAGCGAGAAATTATAATGAGGATCGACCGGCTATTTATATTCGTCTCTTCTATCTAAATGTATTTAAATTCTCTTAATAATTCAGATATATGCGTATACCTACACTACAGACGATAGACTCGACGTAAAAATTCGTTAATCTCTTCATTTTCTGTTCTTACAGACCGCGAACGGGAATGTGGAAGCAAAAGTCATGTGTTTCTTCAGGCGGAGGGATTTGCCGACTACCTTAGTTATGCTAGCAGACAAACATCAATGTAAGTAGCACACGTCCACACGCGCAAACTACCGTGTTATCGTAAATATTTGTAAAGGTATGGGAGGACTGTGTGTGACAGGGTCTCACGCGCGCCCGCGCGCGCGCACGTTAGTATAGAATTATTCCGATTTTTCTCTACGTCGCTTCACGCACGTTTTTCTTCCACGTATCCCAGAAAAATAATACTTCCCTTTTTCTAGATATAAGCTAAACACGCTTTCTCATGAGGAGCTATCTATTCCGATAAGCGTTTTGTAACACAGTCCTGGATTTACGAATTGTATACTAACGAATTACTAACAACGCACGAATGCCTGCTTTCGTTAATACGACGTGGAAAAGAAGCGTATCTCGCGCGAGTATTCCTCGGAGGTGATCCCTAGCCACCCGTTCGCGACGGTCCGACGAAATCGCGGTTTTCGAGCGAACGCAAAATGCGACGACACGAGCGAGACGTTGAATTACCATAAAGTACGAGAAGGACGAGTTAGTTTTAACGCTCGCCGGCGTACGGCAGATCGATAACCGTTCATAGGTGAGGAAAATTTCATCCGCGAGCACGGTTTCATCTCCCAGCATGGAAGATTCTGGCCGCAATTTCCAAGCGGTATCGATTTTCTCCGCTTTGGCAATCATTATTGACGAGAGACACCTCTCGCGATACAGGCGATATGAAAATTCGAGAGACACGGGAAGCCGCGTGTTACACCGCGCTCGCCTCTGGGCGTGTGTGTGTTTGTGTGTGTTGTGTCGTGACTCGCACAGGAAGAGTCGCAAAGCGTCACTACCTTTGCGATCGTCGTCGTGTAACACGGCTGTACTCGAGGGAGCTCATTATAAGTTTGATTTGCAGAATCTGTTGTGACGAGAATCCACAGAAATGTATCTATATCAGAGGGGAAATAGCTAGTTTTTCCGAAAGAAAAAAAGAACTGTCTTTGCGATTGTATCATTGTTATAGATATACTCGGAGTTGATTGTTACTTTGATTTGCAAATTTCTGTTGTGACAGAAATATATCTGTATTAGAAAAAGGGAATAGTTTCCGAAAAAATTATCTTTGTGGTCGTCGTCGTCGTGTAGCACGGTTATACTCGGGGAAACTTATTATTATATAGTTTGAATTGCAGAATCTGTTGTGACGAGAATCTACAGAAATGTATTTATATTAGAGGGGAAATAGCCGTTTATAAAAAAAAATGTATCTTAAATCGATCGATCTCAAGAAGACGCTTTCGGAAATTTCGTGCTCGAGGTGCGAATATTTCGCGCGTGGTTGATTTTAAGCGAAACGATTCGCTTATTCCGTCCGACATTAATACGTTCTCCAAGGACGGGAAAAAAAATCGCGTTCTCAGGAGACACGCGATGTACACGCATACATGTAGGCGCACACACGCACGCACGCATTTCTGTTTCTATCGCCGCCCGCGTATAGTTACACGTTATTCCGGGGCTTTCTCGATTTTTCCTTCGCAATGACAAAGATAATGAGACGCGGGGATTTGGGGTGGGAATGTATAATAAGTAAAGTTACGGGGGTGGTTGGGCGGATTGTGGGAGACGGGGGTTGTATCGATCTGCC